AGCCGCACAAGAAGTTCGTAGAGCGCTTGTCGCGGGACTTCCTCATCCACGGCATAGTTCCCTTCTACGAGCCGGCCGAGATCAGGACGAGGGCTGACGTAATAGTCGTGAAGTCCGGGCTTTCGCGGAACGCGGAAGATCTCCTCTCGATATCGCGTGCCGATCAGCCTGAACCGGTGACTGACGTGACCACACTGTTTCACAGGCTCCACGCTTTCTTCATGGCGCTCGAGTACCTGAACATCTGCGCTTTCTCGCGCGCGGAAGGGCCGCTCAAGTACCTCCAGGAACTCGAGCAGTTCAGGTCTGAGTGCCCGGGTCTGCCGTTCCTGATGGCAGCCGATCGCGCTATACGAAAGAAGATCTTCCGCCTCCTCTCAGAGCAGAGGGCGACATACACTGCATTCTCGCAAGCTTTGCTCGAGGTCCTTAACAATCACAAGTATTTGTGGAATGACGCTCGGACCAGCGTGACGCTGTCGAAGGTCGAGCACAACAGACAGCAGCTCGTCGCGAACCCTGATCAGGTTCAGGAAGACGGAGCTCCTCCTCCCCCTCACAATCCCTTCAAGCGCCCGCGCGGCGGGAAGAAGAAGAAGCGGCTCCAAACGCCGGGAAAGGAGGAGACGCCGAAGAAGATCTCTAAGGAAGATCCCGCCAAAAAGCTGAAGCGGGACGATCGAATCCCTGAGAAAGAATGGAAGCTGATCGCAGATGCTGCGAAGAAGGTGCAGGGAGCTCGTCGCTGCCACTATTTCAATTCGTCGCTCGGCTGCATTTCAGGAGATAGTTGCCGGTTTAAGCACTTATGCATGGTCTGCGGAGAGCCGCACCCCATGATCGGCAACCACTGATCTGGCCCTGCGGGATCTGACTTTCGACCCTACCTCGCGCTCTCGGGGGTGATGGGAGATGTGGACGCGGAGGCGATCGCTCAAGAGCTCGTCGCCAAGAAGACCCCGCTCTCGCGTGATGAAATCTTGCAGCTCGCTTTCTATCTGCCTGATCAGGGGCAGCACAAAGCGGCTGGCGAACGGGGCCGCGCTTTCTTTGCTGGAGCCTATCGGCACGGAGGTATCACCCGCCTGAGGGCCTCGTGCCGCTCGTGGCCCTGGTCGATCCAGGCGATCACCAAGTACATCCAGCAAAAGGTCCCGGAGGTCGTGTTCACGTCTTTCGCTATCCTTTACGATCAGGAAGCGAAACCCCATCGTGATTCGGGCAATGACGCCACTCCGAATGTGGTCATTAAGCTCAGTGACTCCCAGGGCGACGGGCTCTGGATCGAGGACCCGCTCGGGCAAGACACTCGAGACATAGATGGCCGGGTGGTCCCCGGCTGCAATACGGACTTCGAT